TAATGTTTTCCTGTCATGGAACAATGCCGGTTTTCCTGAAGCAGTGTGACCAGTCATGATTTGGCTTAACATAAATTAGAGGATCCTTCCACAAGAGAAAAGGCACAAGACCAATGTGGACCTTTGATAGTTGATATTTTATGGTGATGACAATAACCCAATAATAACTTTATTAACCTTCGTCACATAAAGTGTTGTGTATTGAGCAACTTTATGCTCAGCTCTGTTCTGTGCTTGTTCTATGTTTGTGTGGGTCTTTTCTTTAATGAGCCTCATCATCAGACCTTCCCTGGTGTATCTTCTCATCTTGCACCAACTTCCTCTGTTCTGTTTCCTTACTTTCATCACAACCAGAGAAGTTATCCTGTTGTTTTGGCGTCTCTCGTAAAGACTTGCCACGGTTGAGTCACAGACTGCATTTTTCCAGGCGTGCCTCATCTGCCTCGACTTGTTCTTCATGTAAAATCTAGAAGACTCTTTTTTTTAACCCCTACCTACATTGAATGTAATTTCTGTCCACTGAACTGATCTAAGTTGTAAATTGCTGATGTTGTGCTGCCCTGCCCTCAGAGGATTTCCTGAAAAGCTCAGCTGCAGCTGAAGCTTCAAGTTAAGCCATGTCATTTAAAGAGAGCACCACTCCAACAATCTGCATCTGATGTTGCTTTTACATTTACAAAATGACACAAAGGTGTTTGTTGTTTGAATGCAAGACTGGAATATGTAAAGGAAGTTCTTTCTAAAGCATTTAAAGATATACAGTTGTGGTTGTGCACATTTTCACCTGGCTCTGGATAAATGAATTTTAATTCACATCTCAGTTCACAGTTCTTATTGTATCTTTGTCTTTTAAGCAGTTTACAAGGTGCAAAGAGTAACAGTAACTTAACTTGATGATCAGGTTTTGGTTTTGCACCGTGCATGTGACACCTGAACAGGAACTTCTGTGATTTCTAAAAACTTTTCCTGGACTTATTTTAACTTTTGTGTTCGGTGGGGAGCCGTGGCTGTTATGAGCCTGTATCAAACCCATTAGGGCGTTGTGTTTGTGATGCTAAACAGTACAAACATACCTGACTTATATTATTGTATTATATTATTTGCATTCAAAGACTGAATACAAATGCTTTCAGCACAAGAGCTGGCAAGTTGTAGCAAGGCCCTGGAATTTCCAACAAACAGACATTGGATGTTCCAGACAGGATCTTCATCTGCAAAATAATACAATCGTTTTTAACCTACAGATGATAAAGAGGAGACAAAAGCTGCAGCTTGTGATCTTACAATGAAGAGGAGCTTGTGCGTTCTGGGAGTTTGTGAGTTGTTATCTGAGAAGAGTACACGCTTGAAAAGCATAAAGGAAACACAATATTCAGCCTTGAAAGAAGAAAACTGATTCATTTACAAAGAAAAGAACACAAACAAATATATAAACAGATCTCCCCGCTAACAAAAGTCGAACCTTTTGCTTTAACCTCGTTAAAAAAAAAAAAA